TAGGTAATAACAAGAAGTTTAAGGCACACAGGGTTATAAGAACCTTCTAATCATTATTCTAGAAAACAACTGTACAAGGGCACAATGGAATAAATCAGTCGTTCTTGAATAGGGGATTTTCCTTCTCCCAGAGACATTTTGCATTGTCTTAATTGAGGTGAGGCAGGAAAAGGGGAGATAATATTGGTGTTCCATGGGTAGAAACCAGGGAGGCTGATAAACATCCTACAATGCATTCTTCAAGGACAGCTCCCCGAACACAGAATAACCCAACTCAAAAGACCAATGATTCTGAGATCAAGAACTATACTAGAATAAGATCTCATTAGTTTATACATCCCAACTATCATACATCAGAAGAAAAAAGTTAAAACTTTCTGGGTCCCAGATCTCTTATGTGAATTACACCATTTGAATCAACCTGATGAAACAATTCTGAGTTATAATACAGACAATGATAGCACATATGTACCTCATACTGTTTTGTCAATTTGCTTCAAGCCAAATGACATTTCACAAGGAAAAACACGCAAGGGCTAACACATAGCCTATACTTCCTTGGTGATATTTTCTTTTATTTCTTTTTGCTTACCTTGGCAGTATTGGGGTTTGAATTCAGGGCCTCATACTTGCAAGGCAGGTGCTCCACCACTTGGAGCACTGCACCAGACATTAGTGACATTTGAAAGAAAGTAAATTACTACTAACAACAAAATTTGTTTTATGAAATGAAAGATAGAAATATTTATCTATTTTATCTCATCTTAGAATATGAAAATCCCATAAATAATAAACACAAAGAAAAAGTGTTCTGGGCATTAAAGAACATTCAGTTAGGAATTTCCTAGAGTACTAATCTGCATTCTCTATTTTCAAAGCACAATTCTTTTATGCATGTAGACAAAACATGCATTCAGCTACATTATTCGACTTTAACATATTTTTAAAAAATTTTACAAGTATTAGGTTTTTGAAAACGGAAAGATCTGTAATGTGAGTTATCTCACTAGATTTTTTTTTGTACCTAAAAATTTGTTTATTTACATTATAAACCAAACAACTTTTAAGTATATTTATACTTACTTGGCATACTTGGAGTTAGGTTTTATTTCACACATAAATCTTTAACATTGCATTATTTTATCTTAGACATTTCCAATTGCATCTCTCAAAGATTCTATGGTACTGAGAAACACATTTTTATATCAGAAGTTCTTGGAATTATGTCACTATGTTAGAGACTGATATTAATTTGGAGCACATGAACAGTTTCTCTACTTTTGACAGTGAAAATTATTGACATGTTAAAGATTGTTACCTGTCCATCTGCTGAGGAAGCAAAGTGATGATAAAACCACCACTGATTGTTCTCAAGATTTTTCAAGTGGGTGTTTGATAGGGTAGGAAAACAGGATAAAATCAAGTTACCTAGGGCCTCTGTTACCATATAATCAAGGCAGAGTGTTGTTCTTTAAAAGTAATGGTAACAACCTCTACAAACACTGAGTCTCAGGAATAATGATGTGGTCCCTGATACACATGCAAAGTGAGGGCCCACAGGTGTGTATGATGTGACAAGGTGAGGACAAAGACCAGGGTGTTGGTGTTCTGCCTCCCCAACCTGCTAATAAAGGAAGGGGAATCATTTAACCTCCCTAAGCCTTCTATTTCATCAATGTAATTTAGTGATAACTATGAAGGCCCAGTCAATTCACAGGAGTATTTTAAAGCTCAAATTAAAAAAAAAAAAAAAAGAAACTGAAGCTTTTGATAAAGTAGCAGACAAATGTGTGGATTATTATGGTGAGTAAGCAATCCCAGCCTACAACATCATTTTTATGATAGGATTCTTTTCATAATCCATATTAGCAATCAAGCAATCGGAAGTTTGTTCTTGTCAGGCATGAAGATAAAACACACCAATGACCTGCGTTGTCTTTGTCACATTACTGGCTTAACGCAAATATTGGACATTGGTTTAAATAATTATAAACTCTGACCACCAAAAATCTTCAGAGACACCCAACATTAAATTATCTTCAGAGAATGACTTAAACATCCTGCTTCAGGATTAATTTAGGCTCCAAATGTTTACAAAGTATACAATTCCTTCTGAAGCAATACAGAAATGCAGGAAGTCACTCACTTCTCAAACTACATATCTGTACAAATACAATTATGTATCTAAATTGATACAGTGGAAACTGTTGCTTCTTCTCCCACCCCAGCTATACTAGCAATTCCTGTAGAAAAGGACAGTGCTGAGGGAGAAAGTTTCCCACAGCAGAATTACATCTGATAACCTCGGCAGAATAGATCATCTCAAAGTGGGTTGTGTTTTTGTTTACACAGGATCACTCCTGCTGCTGCTGGTGTTAAACCTCCTTCTCTGCAAGAATGTGGCTGCCAGCCCTGCCTGTGCAGGTGGGGCTGCGAACTGCCGCTTGAGCCTCCAAGACCTGTTCACCCGTGCAGTCGCCCTGTCTGACAACATCTATAAAGTTGCTGAAGACACATTCAGGGGCTTTGTAAGTATCCCACTCATTGCTTCTTCCCAAAGAAGCCTTCATGCCAATGAGAAGACTGTATGCAATTTAATAAAGAAAACCTCATGAACCAAATTGCAAATAATATGCCTTAATAAGTAAAAGAAGGCATCAGATAATAAAGGTTGTGAAGAAGAGAAAGCTCCAAGTTTCATGAAAGCTCAAAGAGTCTCAAATATGCAATGATTATTGTACATTTTCTGAAATTTCTCTTGGTTCTTTTTTTTTTTTGATTTAAACACCAGGAGTAAAGCCTTTTTTTAGGTAAGAAGAGCACTGATACTTTTTGTTCTTAGAAGCCAGTAACCTGGGCAATCTGTATTCGGCATACTGTTGATATTCAGTAAACTAGAATTGCATTGCAGTGAATTGGGTGGATGGAATAGAATTAGGCTGAACTGAAGCCATGTCAGGAGGGGAAAAAAACAAATCAAAAACAAATGGCTTTTCAGAAATCCCAAAATGCTAGGAATCATTGTTTTAAGATTTCAAGTGCATGAATTGATAATTACAGCACAAAGGCTGGTTTACAATTGGAAACAGGGTTTTTCTTCCTGATGAAGGTACTTTGAAACCTGTAACTTAGGTATTCTAGGTCAATCAGGGGACCACAAAAGATTAGGGCTTCAGTATATCAGAGAATGTTACTCAATATTTGCAATAAATATATATTCATAGAATTATTTTCACTTACTAGTTTTTCTTTTATTCCTCATTTTTGACTGACCATCCTTTATCTTTCACATCTTCCTAGCAATCCCTCTAAATTTTCACAACTTTATCAGATATTAGTTTTAAATCATAAAGTTTACTATTTTTTTCCATTTTTAATCTGTCCACTTCTTAATATTTCCCAAAAGGTTATATTCTGTTACTTTCAACTTATTTTGTCAGTACCAGTAATATTGTATTTTGATTTTATGATAAACATGATGAGGTACAGCTATGTGTATTCAGAGGTAATTGAAAGGAAAATTGTAACTTTATAATGTCTACTTAAAAGAAGCATATCTGTTGGACACACAAGAAATGAAAGTTTAAATGGAAAAACATAGATGTTTATGTACTTTGGCATTTAAAACACTTGATGGTTTATAGTTTGGCAGTATTTAGTGTTTGCTTTTCAAATAGCAACCAGCAAGAAAGATGAAAGGAAGGCTGTGACAATACGGGAATAGTAAAGAAGAGAAGAAGTTCAAAGGTTTGAAAAGTTAGATGAAAACAATGAGATAACAAACTAATATAAAAAAAGTAGGCAAAGGACTAGTTTGTTAATTCCTTAGGTTCAATACTATGCATTGCTCTTTTGAGAAAATTACACATCTACCAACTGTATGAATATTCTGCTAATGGATTAGCTTATTCAATTCCCAAGCTATAACTAATTGAATTTTCTCTATCATTTCTAGCAAAAAACTTATGCCACTGGCAGGGAGTTCATTTCCAGGGCCATCAACAGCTGCCACACTTCTACCATTCCTACTCCAGCAGACAAGGACCAAGCCCTAAATACCGAGGTAAGTCTTAAGCCCAGGTTTTTCACCAAAACAGCTGAGGCAGCATTCTGGGGTTGCTGTACTATAAATTATCAGAGTCACTAAAATAAGTATAGTAATCACATGTGCAGAGAAAAATGGAGGAAAAGAATGCAATCTAAGAAAATTTATATTATATAGCTGATAAACTATAAGTAAAAACAAATACTAAGTAAGCCTGCAGCAGATCTATAAATTGTACATACAGAGGACAACATTTCACCCAATACCTTCTACCTAGGATTGCATATATCATTCTGTAGGAATGTGTCAGGTAAGTTGGACATGCATGAGTGAATATCTATATATGATCGATGTAAGAAATGAAAATGCAGTTATATAATGCTCTTCTATTGACAGCATATTACATCCCTGATCACTGAATGATTTGAGCACTCTTGTCTAGATTTTCAAGACTCTTCTGATTCTACTTCTGCTTATCTAACACTTGCTTCCTCATTCTTCCCTGACTCTTCACCTCATGCTGCATCTTAACCCAACAAGCAGGTCCTACAAAATATTATGTTTCTTGCAGCAGCAACTCTAGTCACTGATCTGATATCAACACACTCTACATATCAAACCAGCTCCAGTTTTTTATTGTTCTCTTCTCTCCCTTCTGAAATAATGCCATAAATAGTCTAAAGGTAGATTAAAGTAAACATCATACATGTATTTATATATATATTTTTCAACATACATATATATGTATATACATATACCTCCACAAATATAGTCAGTTCTTTAAATAAGCCAGTTTTGTAACTTTAACTAAAACTTACACTTTGCATAACTAAAAATTGTACTATTTAGAGAAAATTTTTATATACACATAGGAATAACAAAGAGATATTCTAGTTCAACATCTCCACAAAATTACATGTTACCAACCCTGCTGTATTTCACTTCCTTTAATGTGATGTTCAATGTGGTTGATCAGTCTGGAACACTTCTGAATATGGTCCGAGGCTTATTGCGCTCCTGGGAAGACCCTCTGCAGCACCTGACCACCACAGTGAGGGATATGAAAGAATTCCCAGCTGATATGATTAGAAGAGTCCAAGAGATTGAGTATAAAACTCATCAACTTCGAGAGGGCATGGAGAAGATAATCAAACAGGTAAGCAATCTTTGATACTCTTTGATTTTCTCATCAATGAAAGAGGCAACCTCTGTGATTGGAATTGGGTTTAAATTCCTCACTTTGCTAGAACAAATTTAGGCATTCCATGTTGTAGATGACTAGGCCAGGCCTTAGTCATCCACAGTGTGAGATCCTGATGTACATCAATTTTAGTAATAGCTTTCCTTATTGGACAGGTGTAGCTTTCTTACACTGTCCACAAATCCACCAAACTTTCCCTTTCAGGGAATGGGGTAAAATATTTTCCAGAAAAAGAAAATCAGAGAATAGAATCTGCAAGATAAATGCTCTCTTCAAAGTACCTCAGGATACATGCATTGAAAGGCTGCTCAGATTCTGTCTCCATTCTACTCACACCAGAGGATTAGAGTAGGAAGAAAGAAAGGAGAAAATCAAAATCACACTGAACTGTAGCTCCCACTCTGCCCCATCACTAAGGAAAGACTAAAAAGAGGAAGCCATAGCTTCAGTGTTGTCTCACAATAATAGATGCAACAAAAGGAAGAGTGTGTCTTTTCTGGAATGTTCCTTATTTCATAATATCTAGAAAAATATTTCATCCTAAATTTTGTTTTGCTTGGGGATCCAAACTAAGCTCATATCATTATAAATAATCATTCCAAATAATTCATCATATTTAGATTAAATTAGTATTTTCACAATGTATCTCCATTCAGATAGGATAATTTCAACTTTAGTGAGATTCCAGATTTCTGAAATTTTCAGAAATAATGTGTCATCTAAAGGAAAACATATGGCTATAGGAATAATGGCAGAAGCAATTTTATACTTCATTTTGTGTACTAAGTACATGGTATCATGTGTCATTTTTGTCATTTTCATGGGAGAAGACTACAAATCTGAGCAAAAATACAACAAATACAAAGAGCACATTAACCCAGCAACCTATGAAATAAATACCTTGATTTTCAATTTATTTTCTTTATTAGTATAAGACTATTACCTACTGTAGCTAATTTGTTCCATAATGCCTTATATTTCTGTTCCTTTTTTCCTCCCATTTCTTTATTTAATTATGTTGATGTCATTATACCTCTCACAGTAAATATTCTCAACAATTTTCTTAACCAAATGTTCATCAAATATAAAAAGCTTAAATCCAGACAACACACATTGACACTTTAAATTCTGATAGGTAATCCAATATATAAAAATTGAGCTTACTCTGAAAGAGAAAGTTCTGCAAATCAAGGTCTACAAGTATCTCAGACTGGTACCTAGTAGACTCTGTAACTCAGACATCCTTAAAGGTACCAAGATAGTTCCTTTTTTTAAGATCTCTGAAGATTTCCGACTGGCAAAGGCCTGTATAGATAACAGGTACACACTGTGGGCCTCTCTCAACCTCTTTGGCAGATTCTTTTGGTAATCCTAGTTATCCCCTAGCACACAGTCCTCACCACTTAGGAGTTTCTGGAAGTACTGTCCTTTGCCTACTACCTCCCACCCCAGAGAACTAAAAAGAAAACAGCTATTCTTCATAGAAATGTGGAGGGCAACTTTCCTGACTAAAATGAAAGATTCTCTGACTACTTCAGCAGATCTTCACCATACTCATCATCAGATTATCTGCATCTTAAAGCATTTGATGCATTCCTCGTTGTTTCTAAGATTTCAGTACATACATTCTCTGGACAATGGATTCAGTTCAAAGGAAGGAAGAGATAAATGGTGAACTATCAGAAGGACTAAAGTACAGAAGCCATGCTAGGGACAAGATTTGGGAAATGTAAAAGTCACTCAAGTAAGACAACAGATAGTAGCTCTTCCATTGTCCCTTGGATACAGCCAAGTGTATCTTGTAACAGCAACTTCCTGCTTTTCCATCTATCTACTCCTATAAGAACACAATTTACCTGTGATAGCTCATATGACAGAAAACTTATACAAGTGTCCTACTTTTAGATTTATGACACGCTGATCCAGAAACACAAAAATCAATGCCTTTGGCATATGTTTACCATTCCTATATCATCTTCAATCATAATTCAACTATTAAAAGGAACAGGTATAAACAAATATTAATAGCATGAATAATAAATGATTATCTTTTTTGGTGGCTAGGTTGAACCTGGAGTTGTAAACAATGACATCTTTGCTGCCTGGTCTGGACTTTCATCACTGCAGAAGGGTGACAAAAACTCTCGCCTTGTGGGATTTTATAACCTGTTCCACTGCCTACGCAGGGATACAAATAAGGTTGACAATTATCTCAAGATCCTGAAGTGCAAAGTTGTCCATGAAGGCAGCTGCTAATCCCAAATCCATCCCCTCTATGTCTGAGATGGCTCACATGGATGTACCTCTTGACAAGCTTCTTTTAGTTTTACAACTTTTTAATGTGTGCTTGGGTGTAATGGGTCTCTTCATAAACAAATAAAAACTGACTCTTTACAAGTGTAAAAATCAAAAAAGGCAATTTGTCAAAGTTTCTTTTCTTCATTTAATGGAAAATCAAAAAAAAACTCTATCACAACCATTGAGAAGTTCCTAGCAAAACATGTGACAAATAAGAGAAACTAGGAATGCAAAAAGACAACTAACAATTTACTTTAGAACCACAGTAAGTTAACATGGGTCATTATTGGAATCCAAAAGTTTCATTACCATTCATAACAATCCAATCAAGAAGACTGAATCCTCAGGATGCTTTATGAAAGTCACCACGTTCTGTGAGCTAACTTTCACAGTGGTGAGATAGACACTGCTAGTGCTCTGCAATGGCAAAGTCTAAAAATAGTTAAGATGCAAACATACAAAATGGCTCTAGATTTCTACAATAGCTTTTCCAACCATGCTTCACTGAGCTCCCATTCCTTTAGCATCATCCTGGACACATTCCATGCATTCTAGTCACTCTATGTTTCACAAGACCTCTTCACTCATTACTGATGTGGTCAGTAACTGAATGTGTTTCTTTCTCTTCTTTCTTGGATCTCCATTCCTTTCACTGTCAGGATAAGATATACAATTAGGAAAAATAAAGCAATTTCTGACAGCACTGTCTTATGAGGTACTGTGATAGACTTCTCATTGCTGACAGGCACTGTACTTCAATTACTTATGAGTGACAAGTGTGTCTCTCCTATGGGGTATACTAGTATGTTTTTCCGCAGAATTGCCCTGGCTTGATTCTCCTACCTATGCCACAGCTCTGCCCTCTGTAGTATCCTTACAGCCTCTGCTGCTGGTCACTTACCCTACAAGCACCCTACTAAGAAAATCATCCCAAAGTCAGCAATGTTCCAGCTAACTCACAGGAAATTCATGCATCATAACTACTCTAAGCAATAGAGTAACAATAAACCCAAATCACTGCTGAGCCCTCTCTTTGATCTCCACAAATCTCTTCTCTTATTCATATTAACATTCATAGGATCAGAAAATAGAGTTCAAGAGCAGACAGTCATTTGAGGAATGAGAGACACCATTCTTCCCTTCTTTGGAATCCCATAAGTAATTATCTCTATCAATAATTTCTTAGAGAGGCAGCCTTACAGGTATGCTCTACTAGGCCATGAAATGATAACTCCCACATTCAATATCTAAAAATATCTAACATTCTGCTGATTCAATCTGGGTAGAATTGATTGAATGAGGGTGGCTCAGCTTACTCACCACCCTTTAAGGCCCAGTCTCCTTAGAAGGTGGTAGGATTCACAGGGGGATTTTGAAGGAGGGTGATGGATTCTGTTGAGATTTCTAGACAGTACACAATGGGAGACATCCCATTCTACATCCTGATAGATATTAAATAAAAAGATGAAGGGGTGGAATAAAGGAAAAGCTAGAGAGAGACATAGGGGAGGAGGAAAGATAAGAAGAAAGAAAATGAATAAAAGATAGAATTTGTATGATAAGATGCAGTTAGCATACTGAACTTCGTGGAAAACTATATCAATCTCAATTATTAGATCTGAAAGCAAATAGCATCCACTGTTTTCCTTTCACTTCCCTCTTCTGTCTTTCCTGAAATTTTTGTATATTTTAGGAATATCCTTTGCCTTTATCAATTGAGGTGTTATAGTTCTCAGCACGAGCAGAACTTGGCACTACTGCTGGTGATGATTCAAAGCAATTTTCCAACTCTTTTTCACATACTTTTCTTTTACAAAGTGTTTATTCCAAGCATGAATTTAAGACTTCATGTAAACTAGTGAGGAGGTGATAGAAAAGGCCTCTCCTGAACTGTGACATGGAAACTGAATATTGTAATTTTCAGACAAGATTGAGCAGAGCCATAGGTGTGTAATACTATTGAAAGATGTAGTGAGAGAGAGAATATTTGAGAAGAATATATTAATCACTCCTTTTCCAATCAGAGTGAGTTCACTTACTTCTTCTATGGCTTTGCACATGACAGCAATGGTGTAACACGGAAACAAACCAACCCTAGAAATTCATTGATCTCATAGCTTAGTACTCACACATTATTGTCACTGTAAGAACTAAAAGAGAGGTAAGAAAAATCTGTCTTCTAAGGGTTTCCTCTGAGGTTTCAGAGAGTATTAGATAAATATCCAAATAACTATACTTTTGTCAAAGAGCATCCAGGAAGCATCTGGATGTGAGAACAAGGAAGATTGTCCAAAGCAGCACCATTGTTGGAGCTTTGAGATGTAATTTTGAAGGCTTAGTAGAATACTGATAGACCAAAATAGGAAGATAGCATATTTTCTACTTCTTTTACAATCATTTTTACAATGTAGGCAAAACCGACATCTTGAACAAAAGAAACTGAGATGTTAATACATGTAGCATTCAAAGGAATCAGTAGGTAATCACATTTGCGCTAGACATTGTTTAAAAAGGAGTACTTATTATAAACTTATAAGAAATGCTCATTTTTAAAGACATTTGATAACTCATTAATATGCTGTACAGGATATTGTAAGGCAAAAAATGGTGAAACCACTGGTCATGATTCTTTTTGAATTGTGGAGGATGGTTTAGGTCAATTTGGAGAATTTGTACTTATCCTCTGAAACAACAAAAACACTACATTTTATTGTAAGAAAATAGTATAGCTAGAATTGGAAAACAGAATTAATCTGTTTTGGAAGTGTGGGGTTGGTAGAAAAATGAGGGATACAGAACAAGTAAAATACCATTATGACACTATATATAAGAACATAATTGAGAGTTCTGCCAAGAGGAAGGAAGCTAGAAAATGGTGCACAGGAGAAAATCAACAGGTTTTGACTCTTTGGAGGGAATGTATTTGGGAGACAGAAGAGTCAAAGACATGCAACAACTTGAGACTAGATGAGTATAGAAATGATTGGAAAGTCCAAGAGAGGAAGAAATAAAGTAACTTTTTGTACAAATAGATATGAACTCTGTTTTCCTGTATTTCATTGGCTTTGTACCAGAAATCATTGAAAATATTAAGTTACTTAACCAAATGAGAAATGAGTACATTCAAAAGTCTCATTGAGACTATACAATATACAAGAACAAAGGAATTTATACTGCCCTATAACAAATGGTAAGTCACTTGTCTTTTTCAGCACATTAATAAGACATATAGTATAAAGCCATTTCTTTAGAGACAGTCCTCATTTTGAAAAAAGAAACCATAAACAGTGTCCACTTTCAACTTTTGTCTACTTTCTCTAAGAGTTTTTTTTTAATTCCTTTTGTTATAATTTGACCCATTTTTGAAGCTTGGTCCCCAGCCTGTGGCACCATTAGGAGATGGTAGAAGCTTTAGGAGGTGAGGCCTAGTGGAAGGAAGTTAGGGAACCGAATGTGCCGGGCTGGCCCTTTGAGGGGATATTAGGACCTGGTCCCCCCACACTCTCTCTGCCATGAGGTGACTAGTTGTCCTCTGCAAAGTGCTGCTACATGACATGCTAAGTTGCCACAAATCCAAAGCAATAGAACCAAGTCACCATTGACTGAAACCATAAGCCAAAATACACCTTCCTCCCTTTAACCTGATTATCTCAGGTATTTTGTCACTATCAATGCATCTTTCACCAAATACACCCCTGAGTATTTCTTCACATCTGACTCTCAGCAAATGATCAGATAATCACAACTTAAGAAAAAAATTTTAGAAACTTACACTAGAATAATATTCCTATTTAATGACTCCTGAAACTGAAAAGCTTTTTGGAAGAAATGGGAGGCAGTAATGGAGATTGAACTCAGGGCCTCTTGCTGGTTAGGAAAATCTTCTACTACTTGAGTCTTTTTGCCTTTTTTTTAGTTTGTTTTTCAGATAGTGTCTCCTGGTTTTGCCCAGGCAAGTTTCAGATTGTGATCCTCCAAACTCTATCTCCTTTACTGCCCATAAAAGCTTTCTAATATCTTGAAAATTAAATCTCAATAGCAGAATGATCCTCTCCAGTATATTTATAAAATATCTAGTAGGTAACCAAGATTGCCTCTGCCACTTAGAAATCTTTTCCACACTCACAACCTGTTTGAATACTAAGTCAAAAAAATGGAATGAACAAATGGATGACTTTTAGAGAGCAATGCATAAGCAAGAGGAAAACAGATCCACACTTGCATACCATATGAACCTGTAGAGAGCAGTGAGGCTAATTCAGCGTGGCTTCTTCACTGAAAGCTCTGTATGAATTCACACTGAAAGGCATACTCCACTCAACACTTTAAATAAAAATTATTTTGGAATCAAAGTCTCAGAATCACTCATCACACTTACTTGTAGTAAGTCAAAATGAGGTCAACCCAGGACTCTGTTATTGGTCATTCAACTAATATTTATCTAATTGTCACTTTATTCAGGCACTGTTGTAGTTATTTGGTACATTAACAAGCAAAGCAGATGGAGGCACCTGTGGACATGGACATACATTTCAGCTGGGAGAAGACTGAAAAAGACAAGAAATATGACTAGAAGTATATTGTGAAATATGCTAGCAAAAAAAATAGGGCAAGATAAAAAATTTAAGCAGTATGGTGGAGAGAGTGCACTCCTCTTACTGTACAAGTTAGAAGCCATAAGAAATGCAACCACCAATATTACCCTATTAATTCAGACATACATGTGTTTTATTGTATCCCAGAACCAATTTTTTCCTATGCAGTCAGATTTCTTTCTGTTCTTCCCAATGTCAAGTGTGTTCTTCAAACTTATTCAAGCATGAATATTTTGAACATTTTACCTCTGCTCAATTGAACTGAAAGATTTTATGAATTATTTTGAGGTAAACTTCCCCATTAGGTACCATTTTTAAAAGTGTACTTTGAAAATCTTCTATTATGTAAAGCACTATTCTTCA